AAGCACTAGGAAAGGGGGGGGGGGGGGGGGGGCGACGTGACGGCTGAGCGCATATTTGCATTTATGTGTTTTTGTGTGCTCACCTAGTGGCGCTGTCATATGGAAACCTTGTATTTATTCGTTTTCATTTCAGTGACCCATGTGAACTGTGTCCTGAGATGTATTACAGATAGTGACAATGTGCACATTAATATGTCATGTGTGTTTATGTAGGTGTGTGATTATGGTACCTGGCATTGCTCTGAAAGCCTGTGATGCTCCTCAGTGTGCTTCTGCCCTTGTTTAACCTCATCCTGTCAGAGAGGAGACACGAGAAAAAAAGGAAGATGAGCATAACAACAATAAGGGTGACACAGCAACTTGTTGGCAGCCAATTAAACATGGTTGTAAAGACTCACATTACTGCTGCCATAAACAGTAAAAGCCAATCAAGCGAGAGCGCAGACGTTAAGATTAGGAGGCCTACACTGCCCCCAAGTGGACTCGTGGTGCTATAGTGTAATTTGGCACTGGTGGTTCAGTTTTAAGTGTCCCCCCCTTTGCGATGAGGTCATCAGAGCAGAGTGCAGTCGGCAGGTGGTTGAACTTCGGTGGTTTGGAAAATAAAACTCATCTTACTGCAGGTAAAGAATTATGTGAATTTTGGTTCTGGTGTATTTCTGACTGCAAAGATGTGCTCCGGTGAACACAGAGGATGAGTCATGCTGCCATTAACAGCAACAAAGAGAGGGGAAAAGACAACAAAGGACAGAGTGGTGTAGTAGTGCACCTACAGACAGTGACACCCACACATACACACTTGCGCGCACTATCCTACCCACACTCGAATTCAGTCTGGCTTATACACAAACACAAAAGACCCCTGACTACCTAGATCCTTTTCTTCTTTCTCCTTTGACTCCTTCTTCTTCTCCCTCTCTGACCCTTTCCTGGCACCTCGCCAGGCCTGACTCTTTGGCAGCATAATGAGCCTTTTCAGAGTGAGAAGGCAGTCGAATGTTAATTAGATCAAATCGGCCCTTTCAGGGTGGTGGGAATGGGGAAACAATCTTGCTAGAGGAGAGCAGACCACTTAAGGTTCCAGAGAGGAGAAATGGAGGCTGGAAACAGATGGTGGGCTGCCAGGAGTATTTCCCCTTCTCTGCCCCTGTTTTTTCCTCACCCCTCACTCTACATTTTCTTTCTCCTGTCTATCTCTCTCTCATAAGTGTGAACTGACAGTTTAGCCATGGGGTACTCCCGGACGTTACAATTTCCCGGGGACACTGCCAAATAACCACACCCCTCTCGCAGAGATTTCCAGGGTGTCTAACACACACACACTCGTTAGACAAATATTTCAGAGGCAGGGCAAAACCATAGCAATGTGCAGGTTATCATGGATTTTTTTTCTACACAGATATTTTTCTAACACTTGCCAGATAGATCCATGACATTTTCTCCTCCCGTCAACAGCCCTTTTTTTCACAGCTTTTTCCCCTGCCGCTCTCATAAACCACGTTAAATGATACTGGTGAAACAGCGAACACATGGAAACCGGGTCTCTGGGATTCACAGATGACTGGTGCACTGGAGCGCTGGCTACTGTTCAAGTGCTGATTCAGTCCACATAATAAATAAAGGGGGACAGACCAAGCGGGCCAGAAATAAAGGCAGGAGAGCAGCGTGATCAGCCCATAGATTTAGTGCACATTAACTCAGACGTGCCAGTGAGCAGCACTCAGTGTATCAGCCAATCAGAGGCAGACGTACTGTTTATATATACATATTTAGAAAGACACTCTGCTGGTTTTTTTGTCCAGAGACCCCCTCCTACGAACAGACTGTCTGTGTTTACAGTGGTGAGGATCAGCTGTCTGTGCTGTGCATCAGCGTATTGATTGAGCAGCTTGTGCGAGTGTGTCTGTGAGTGCGTTGATGTATGTGTGTGTGTGTGTCAGGCTTCAGACTGAGGCAGAGCAGCTGTTTTAGAGTTACTGCATACCCGGGGGGGCCTAAGGTCAGTGTCAGTGTGACATTTCACAGCCCAACCGGGGGTACCGCTTGTGCACTTTCTGTGTTAAACATGGGAACTGAGACCTACAATATACAGTAAAGCTATTCATGAAATATAGTATCTCCCATCTCATACTATTTATAACAAGGCCTTTTGTTTGGAGAGCTATTAAAGCATCTTTCTATCTTTCATGGCCCTAGAGGGACTCTGTGAACTTCACAGCCTGTTCCACACGCCCAAAGGCACCTACACAGAGGTTGAGTTATTTATTAAAATACAACAAAAGCTCATCAGAGGGAGAACATTTAATAAATAACCAAATGCAGATCCCACTGTCCTGGCTGCATAAAAAAAGGTTTTATGCATATTGAGGTGTATTCGTTAGACTATGACAGATTTTTTTGTTTAATAATAACCCCTGTATTGTGATATGCATGGCCAGATTTTTGCCTATACACAACCTTTTCATCTAGGCCTTTTGAAGATTCTTGACTTGTTAAAGGGTCATTCTTTGGCTTTGAAAAGAGCGGTACAGTGGCTTCGGTTCCCCATCAGAAAGGGCTGTCTGAAAAGGTCTATCTCTGTAGGGATCCTTTCCATAATGGTGTCAGACACTTAGAATAATTATCTGAGCCGTTGTTAGTAGCAAAAAGTAGAGGATATACTTTGACAGGGTCATTTGCATAATTTGGATTACGTTGCAGCTATTGCAGCCAAATTTTAGGATCAATTCCAAAATCTTTTGTACCTATTAGTCATTTAGACCTCCAGATATGTCAAAATAGAGCCCAGGTTTAAAAATAAATGAATTGTCTTTTAAGATTTGGCTCTACGGAGCATCTACTCAACCAACAGCTCTATTAGCAGCCCCCCTCTGTTAATCCCACACCAGTCAGTCACAGTCCCAGTCCACCTCCTGTCCACAAACCATTGTGCTCCATCACTGGATGGGTGTGTCCAGCCAGCATGTCTGACATCTATGTAAAACACGTCGGTGCAGCACGAGAGAGCAAACAAAGGGGGGTGTGAGAGAGGAAGCAGACTGGAGGGTGCATGCTGAAGCGTATGATCACTGGGGTGTTCAGAGTGTCTGATTCAGACCTGCGCTGCTGTGTCTCTCTTGGTCACGTGAGGTGGCTGCTTCCCCCTCCCCGCTGACTCCACACGTTTCGTCTGTCCGTCATCTGTAGGGCTCTTGATGTCCGCAGGGCCAGGCCTCTTCTCCAGCCTCTCACTCACCACCCTCTTACCCTGGAGAGACAGTGACTTATATTAGAGTATTATCATAATCGTGTCCAAATTGTGCACAAGAATCATTAATTTGAACATTTTTTTAACAGTAATAGTAGTAGTTGGTGGGATATGCACAGACCATTTATGGATTACGAGATTACATGTTGTACCTTACACAGCTGCTCATTTTTCAGCCATGCTAGCAGCGTGTCTCTTTGGATAGCTATGTTAGTTTGTCAGTCGGTCCACCACACTTCAGTCCATCAGAATCAAATGTCTCAACAACCACTGAATGCATTGTCATGAAATGTGGCACAGATATCCATGGTGCCATGAGAATGTATCCCCAGACCTCTGCTGTAGTGCGAATTGACATTTCAAGTTTTAATTCTGATTAATTATAATAATAATATTTTTATTGTACTTTTGATTTATGACCAAATACCTGCTGAACTACTGATATTCCCAACCTCAGCTACTGTTTACTTTGTGTTTAATGCTGATTAGCAATTGTTAGCATCCTAACACACTAAACTAAGATGGTGAACATGGTAAACATTACTAAACAGCAAGTAAAGTTAACAGCATTACCTCATGGATTAAAGTCTACACTGCATTCATCTTTGTTAAGTTCTCCTGCTTTCTTTATCAAGTTATCGTACTTGTTTTCTGCCTAAAACTTTGTCTGAATGTTTATTACATTGCTCTCAGCTAGATGTACTTATTGATTTGAATGGGGGATAGCTTTTGTGTTATTCTTTCGTTTATTTCAGTGAAGCTACAGGGGTTCTGGGGTCTCCTATATTTCTCTCTGCCACTTTGAGAAGAAATTGGCACTGCAGTGTACTTACCTTTTTGCCAGCCATGGTGACCGTTAGCTGCTTCCTGTGGCCTCGGCCAGCAGCCTGTGGAGGGCCTTCTTCCCCCCTGTCGATTCCGGCCTCCTGCTGTCCTTTCCCAGCTGGTGAACTGCCACTAAAAGCCTTTGTCACCACCACACGGTTATCCTGCTAATCAAAGACAAGAACATGTTATAAAATATTCACTATTTAATTTGTAGCATATTTTTCTTAAACAAATTGTGACAACGAGCTGTCAGTGACAATAGCAATGCTCTGAGGCATTGGTTAGTTTAGTATTATTACAGTTCTTAAGTGCGTCAACTCACGCTGGTTGACTTGCTGATTGTGATGGTAAGATCATCAGCTTTGCCTTTGCGGCTCTGCAGCGCCATTCCTTCCTCTTCTGCCCTTTTTCTGTCCTCCTCCACCTCCTAAATGCAACTCAATGAAGACAACAAACTAATGAGGAAGTTTAAAAGAGCTGCAGGCTTTCACAAAAAAGAAACATAACCCAGAATTTCTACACCTGATGGTGACCAGTGAACTTTTGGACTCCACAGAAGCTTCTTTGCCTGCAAGCACTTACCTTGTACCTCTTCATGAGCGCTTCATTCTTCCTGCGGAGAGCCTCGATCTTCTTATCCAACTCCAGGTCCCTCTCCTGATCCCTCTTGGGCATCGTGTCACTGGGGGTCTGGGATGAGACACATCGGATTATTGATACAATAACACCGTACTAAAATTAAAATTCGGGTCAAAGGTCAGAAGAATATATTTTTATCTTACTTTGAAAAATCTACTTTTTTTCTACAAAATCTTTTTTTTTCATTTAATAAAAATAGCCTAGGTTAAAGGGTTAATATTAAATGTAATATATCTAAACAAGCAGTTGTACAATAACTTTGCCTACATACAGTGTAAGACTGGCTAAATTATCTGATTAAAGAATAACAAAACAGTGATTACAAATCTGAACAGGCATTGTATGCCAGCTTTAACAATACTTGCGATGGACACATTTAGGTCTTTACCATAATAAATCTGATGTTTGGCTTTTATTTCCATATGTATTGTAAGTTGAACCATCTATAAAGTAGATAAAGGGGCCATCATAAAACAACTGACAAGAACAATATCATACCATTAATATTTAATACATCACTTATGAATAGTATACAATAGTGGTACAAAAATAATGTGTGTTATCTTATCACTAATGGATGGGAAATAATACTAAACATATCCCTTTGCTGCTTGCTTGTAACTAACAACTGTCTGTTGTTTTATGTGTGTGGCTTAATGTAAACTTTATTTGAACTACTTTTTAAATCAACAATTATTTGCTACACTGGCAATTTATTTATTTTTTTACCCAGGGACCACTACGTGTGCTGCGATAACACACAACACTAACACACCCTCACACCCACCACAGATGGAGCATTCATTACAAAGCTCAGTTACACGGGGAGAATGCATATGCAGAGCATCCGAAACATCCCAATGCGGTCAGCCTCCTCATACGACAAGAGGCCCCATAGAGAAAATCTCCATATGCTCTCATGGAACTGCACCTAGGTGTGCATTAACACTCCCTTCAAGAAAATCTCTCTTTAACTTGCTGTACCAACTGCAAACATTTGCAAGAGAGCTGCTGAGTTGGAAGGAATATGCACAGAGAATCAAAACAAGGCAAGATTAGGATAATATTACAGAATGATAATTGGGAGGCATCAACCATGTCCAACAGAGAGATCTCATTTCCTTTAGCCTGCAGTAACGTAATGTTCCCTCTCCAATCTGGACTCTGTAGTCTTTCTTAGTGGGGAAAGTGTGAATCCTTTATCTGACTGTATGGAAGCTGAGAATGGCCATGCTAGTAATTATTTTTTTAATGCAGTTTTCTTGAGATCACAAGTTAATTTATCTCGTTATCTTGAGAAAACAAACGTCAGATTATGAGATAATTTATCACGAGGAAACAACGTTTGATTTCTGAAAATCACATGATAATTATGGAGTACTTGAAAATGAGTGGGAGGATTCATAACTGAACTTTTGGTCAGTATGAAAACGTGTATTAACTGGCACGTTGCATGTCATTCCTCCATGCATTGTCCATTATGTTGACCCAATGCTGCATCTATAATACGCCATCTATGCATGCTGGCATGGAACCCCCGATCTACGGTAAGAAAAGGAAACAACCTCTTGTTTTCTCGTGATAATGGGTTGATTATCTCGTTATCTCCAGATAGCAAAGTTCATTTTCTCAAGACAATGAAATAATTAACTTGCGATTTTGAGATAACGGCATTAGAAAAAATAATCACAAGCCCAATCATCCTCTTCATAGAGCAAGCTAAAGGGCACAAGTCTCAGAGGACTGATGAATGAGGAATTCCTCTATGCAGCTCTGGAGTTAGGAAGTGCCACCTTCTTTAAAGAACTAGAGGTTCAGGTCAGGAGCATCAGCGATGCAATGAAAGAAGAAGCTGCAACAAAACCACTGTTCTGTACAGCCTGTTTTAAAGGAGCAGTAAGATATGTTGGTAGTACACTTATTCACTTTCTTGCTGCAAGTCAGAGGAGAAGACTGACATTAATCTCATGTCAGTAGGTAAATATAAAGCTACAGCTAGCAGCTGGTTAGCCTAGATAAGCATACAGATGTAGCCTTGTTGTCACTGGGAAGTTTCCAGGCAGCAGAAAAAGTCTGGCACAACCAGACGACAACAGCTTGTCATTTGTGCAATTAGTTTTTTGTATGGATTAAACAAACTAGTTAATTTGTGATCCTAAAAGGTGGCTGTAGATTGATTTTGTTACCTTAGGAGAGAGATAGGCTAGCTGATTTTCCCTGTTTGCAGCCATATACAGACATGAGAGTGGTATCAACCTTCTCCTTTAACTCTTGGCAAGAAAGCAAATATTTCCCAAAATGTTGAACTATTCCTTCAAATTGGTAAACAGACTTAAATGAAAGACTGGTCACAAGGCAACTCCTCCCTCATATAAAATGACACATATTGTTTCAAAGACACATGCTCCAGGCAATGACATGGCATTAAAAGAGAAAAAACATTTCTACTATCAAACAAACTGCTCACTTGAGCTCAGCTTATCCAACAAAAGAAAACATTTTATCAGTTCTCTGAGATTCAGGACAGAACGTGATGTGACGGGCAAATATGCAGCAAAACTTTGAAAAGGCGGGATCAGAGTAATGAGTTTCATCCCTGCGTCTGATGTTTGCTTACTGCAGCCAGCACTTTGGGGGATGCGTTTGTCTTCATAACATTCATTGTCAAAAACAGGAGCTCTCGTCTCAATCAGTTGTCTCCCACTTTGAATGAATGCTGGCATCATCTGTTGTTATTCACAGCTGAGGAGAGGTGACAACAACACCGCCAAAAAAGAAAAGTTGCCACTGCTGCTTGTTGGAAGTGTGAAGAAACATAATTCATTCTGAAGCATCCCGTTCTCCACACTCTGCATCAATTATTCGGAGGGGTCAAACCTTCTTGACAGAGGCAGGAAGTAGAAGTGCCAAAGTGAGTCAGTCATCCTCTACTGTTGCCCCAGTGACGACTAAAGAGTCGAGGCTGCTTATATGTGATATTGCTAGCAAAGAATGATGACTCATGGCCTAGAGAGCCAACAAAGACCATCACATTGGAAGTGCAAGGAATTCTTTCGTGCTTTTTCCACCGCCGCCGCTGTTACGCCTTCAAAGACTGGCTGCCACTGAGATGTTGTTGAATCGTTTGAGTTCAACACATTATCAGAGACACCGGATCTTATTTAAATGTAAGGTGTCAGCACAGACTTTTGGTTAGATAACAAAAACTGCACATCCTGTAGACAGCTGTGTCGGACCTGCAAAGACACAGTGAGCATGAGAAAAGTTGTAACTCACTCAGAGAGGCGGCAGACTGGAAAGTAGCTACCTCCCAGCTTCTAGTTGTCAGGGTATCCAAACACAACAGACCGTGAGGACATACCACCAAGAATAGGCGCAAGGGAGAGTCACGCTGCCGACTCTGAATCTCAGCAAGGCCAATGGCGGAGACTGAAGTGAACGCCGGCCTCCACAAACCAAACTGGGGGGACAGTACCCCCTCTGGGTTTTCAGCCCCCGGCCAGCTCTGTGATTGTGCAGCAGCAAGGCACACATACACACGCAACCACCAAACACACAGAGACGTTGTGGGTCTGCCAGCGGACGGCACCCATGCCCGGACAGGCAGGCGAAGGGGAGGAGGGGGGCCCTGCAGAGAGAAAGCTGCCAAGGCTTCCCTCCCTACCCAGCGTTCCTGCCACCTACAGGAGCTACAAGAGGGGGGAGAGAGAGTGAGAGAGAGCGAGAGAGAGAGAGAGAGAGAGAGAGAGCCAGAGACACAGCTGAAAC